CAAAAGGCAACAATGAAAATACTACTGGACAGGTCTTCTCATGGGATTTCGCAGGAGGGGGGAAAAAAACAAAAAACACCAAGCTTGTTGGACAGGTCGAAAAACTCGATCAAGCTGGTCGCCTGAGATTTTCGCAGGAGGGGGAAAAAAACAAAAACAAAAAACACCAAGCTTGTTGGACAAGTACCATGCACTGAGTGAGTGAAGCAACTTAATAGTAAAAATAAATTTGATAGGAGAGACTGAACAAAAATGACCATGCATCTATCTAAAAGTTATAAACCGACTATCTATCCAAACTTCTAAAAGAATCATCGTATATATCTATTGAAATAAACTCAACCCATTCCAAATGTTCTGCATGAATTCCTCTATCATATATACCTATCTCAATGAACTAAACCCTCTAGACCTCCTCTTCAAAACAGTTTCAAGATGCAAAAGAAACACAACACAGTGCTTCCATTATCTCCATTCTCGAGCCATTGGGTTTTCAGGGCACACGCCCATGATTCCAACAGTCCCCAACAGTCAAAGGTAGTTGTCCAAAAGAATCCTGTGCTGATATTGGCAATTCACTTGACGTTGTCAAAACATCCGGGCAAAAGTTTTACCCGTTGGTAATTCGGTGAAGTGAAAGGCAGCACCTTGGCCTTTTATCTGGACGTAGCTCCAGCCTTTGAATTAGGTGAAAGGCAGCATCTTGGCTTTTCCATTGACTGAAAGGAAGAAGCTTGGCATTTTTCACAGGAGTGAAAGGCAGCACCTTGGCCATTCACCTGAATTGAATGTCACATAACCTTTTAGTGAAGTAAAAAGTAGCACCTTAGCCTGTTTTACTGGACGCACTTTGGCCTTTCAATGAAGTGCAAGCCAGCGGCTTCGCATTTCAGTTAAGTCGGCATTTTTTCACTGGAGTGAAATGCAGCACCTTGGCCTTTCACCTGAATTGAATGTAGCATGATGGCTTTTTAGTTAAGTTAAAAGTAGCACCTTGGCCTTTTACCTGGCGCACTTTGGCCTTTCAATATGAAGTGAAAGCCAGCGGCTTGGCATTTCAGTTAAGTAAAAAGTAGCACCTTGGCCTTTTTTTCTGGACGCACTTTGGCCTTTCAATGAAGTGAAAGCCAGCTCCTTGGCCTTTCAGTTAAGTGAAAGCCAGCGGCTTGGCCTTTCAGTTAAAAAAGGCAGCAGCTTGGTAGTTCAGTTAAGTGAAAGGCAGCACCTTTCCCCATGAGCCAAGCTGCCACTGAGAGCAAGTACCCCCCTATGACCATGCAACTTGTTCTGTGGCACAGCTACCCTCCTCCTTTCTCATCTCCCCTCTCTGCATTCGCCTTGCCCACTTCATATTTGACAGAGTTGCGCTCTGGCCATACCCATGAGTGAATAACCCTGACTTTATCAATGGCCTGAAATAGCCCTAGCTATATCATGAATGAATATCCTTGGCCATATCAGGAATGAATAGCCCCTAGCCATATCATTGGACTGATAGCCCTGGCTACATCAACACTGGACCCAATCGTCGTTCTACATCATAAGTGAATAGCCTTGACTATACAAGGAATGAATAGCCCATGCTATATCATAGGGCTGAATTGCCCTAGCTATACAACACTGGACCAAATTGTCCTCTCTACATCACGAATAAATAGCTCTTTTTTTTTCTGGGAGCAACCCCCCCTCCCCCTACTAGGGGAGGTGATAAGAGCAGACCCTCCTTGTAGGTGGCCTGGTTGCTCCGTCTACTGGTGGGGAGCTGCACCTGCTGGAAAACGGGTCCAGCGTCCCCTGTAGCTCTCGCTTTATCGCTGGGCTCAAATCCCTAGCTCTAGAGTTGGGACTGAATAGTCATAACTACGTTGCCCCAACAAATACCCCTAGCTAAATCATTGGACCAAGCAGGCCTAGCAATATCAGGAATGAATAGCCTTGACTATATCAGCAGTAATTGGCATGGACAAATGAACAGACCAAGTTATGCGGTCGAGTGGCCCTAGAGAAGCTTGGACATCCTGACACTACAGCTTCCGAAATGCATCTCACCTCAATTGTGGCCAGATTCCCACAATTGGAAAAGTCACTGTGTGGGTACGAGACCTTAGGCAACCAGTGCCAACCACAAGTCAGGGCATATTGACACTCATGTCTTCATGAACGTATCAGGCCACAAGTACGGACCAGATCCGGTCAAGAGAGTCCCGTAGGCAGCTGAAGTACACCTTGGACTTCTTAGGCTACCACCCATTACAGCTTAGACAAAGAATGTCCACACAATTTCACCTCTCCCTGTCATCACGGCGATGATGAGGTTGTTGCTGTACACATAGGACTCAGAGACACATAGTGTGCATCACTCACCAGCATCATCATCATCATCATCATCATCATCATCATCATCCTCACAGACGATATGCCCTCCCCTCCAGTTTGCATCTGACAGAAGAGACAACAGAAAGACACAGAGGTGCACTCTCCCAGAATCCGCCAACCATCAGATGGGCCGCAAATTTGCAGCACAACCTGTGTGG